TTTATTGCAACATTACTCAAAATTGCCAAGATATGAAAACAACCTAAATATTTGTAAATGCTGAATGGATAAAGAAAATAGGGTACATATGCAAAATAGAATATCACTCAGCTATAAAAATTGTATTCAATCATTTCTACAACATGGATGGACATGGAGGACATTATGCTAACTGAAATCATTCAAGCACACAAAGATATATACTGCATAATCTTACCTACCTGGGGAATCTAAAAAGTTTAAACTCATAGAAGCAGAGATTACAAGGCTAATTTCCAGGGCCTCAGGTAAAAAAAAAAGCAAAGATGTGGTTCAAGGGTACAAACATTAAGTTACAAGACCAAAAAGTGTTGTAGACCTAATGTATACCATGGTGTCTATAGCTAATAATAATGTTTTCCATCTTTACATTTATTGACTATAGACTGTAAGTATCCTAACAACAACAACAACAATAGGTAACTGTGAGTTCATATATATTTTCACTAACTTGGTTATGTTAATCATTTCAAAACATATACACACATCAAATCATTATATTATACATAATTATATAGTTATACTATTCTTATTTGTAAAGAAAATTCATGACACACACAAACACATATATATACACACACACATATAAACCTGTGACTGACACAGCCCCAGTAAGCATCAGACTAAAGAAGAGAAAATGATAGAATTAGAGTGAGTAAAAGTAAAAAGTGGGACTTTTATACATGCTCAGCAGTGTTCTTAGTGCTCGAAACATTTTGACTAAATGTAGGGAGTAGATACATTAAACTATATTAAAATTGAGAAATTTGGGCACTTAGAGTTAAATTATTAATCAGAGTTCACAATAAAAACAGAATTTCAAAGTAAAATAATATTATATTTTCTTATATTCAGGGAGATACTAAGTGTTCTGATAATGAGTATGAATTTCTGCAGAAACACATTTAATACTTTTACAGGATAACGAATCATAATGCAGAAAACATATAACATCTGCTTGTGGTGATCCTGGGATTTCTGAACCAAACACCAATATCACCACGACACTCACACAGGTCAGACGTGATGCCGTACAAGCAGAAAAATTAAAAAATGCTTTGCAGACAGGTGGGGCAGCTCATGCCTGTAATCCCAGCACTCTGGGAGGCCAAGTGGGGAGGATTCGCTTGACCTCAGGAGTTCAAGAACTGTGTGAACAAGAGCAAGATCCATCTCTACTAAAAATAGAAAAATTAGCCAGAGACTGTGGCACATGCCTATAGCTCCAGCTACTCGGGAGCTGAGGCAGGAGGAACACTTGAGCCCAACAGTTTGGAGGCTGACAAGTACAGCCTTTAACCACATGATCGCCACTGCACTCTACCAGAAAGGGTTGAGAGAGTGAGACTCTGTATCAAAAAAATCCTTTACCATAAATTTTATTAAATATACAACACAATATTTTCAAATGTCCGTATGTATGTAAATGAGAAAAGCATTCAGCAACCTGCAGTCCCCTTAACAAACCATGAAGGCCAGGGCTTTTGTTCTTACTCTAACCTTAAAAGAACAATGCTGTGCCAGGTGTGGTGGCTCAGGCCTGTCATCCCAGCACTCTCGAAGAGGCCGAGGCCAGGCAACGGATGGCAACAAGGCTTCAAGAGTTTTCGAGACCAGCTGAAGCAAGAGTCGAAGACCTCATCTCTACTAAAATAGAAAGAAATTAGCTGGACCCAACTAAAATATAATGTACAGAGAAAAAATATAGCCCAGGCATGATGGTGCATGCCCTATACTACCCAGCTTACTTTGGGAGGCTTGAGGCAGACAGAATACTTGAGCCCAAGGAGTCTGAGGCTGCTGTTGAGCGAGGCTGAATGGCCACAGCACTCTAGCCTGGGCAACGGAAGGGAGGGAGGGAGGGAGGGAGGGAGGGAGGGAGGAAGGAAGGAGAAAGGAAAGGAAGGAGAGGAAGGAAGGAAGGAAGGAAGGAGAAGGAAAGGAAGGAAGGAAGAAGGAAGGAAGAGAGAGAGAAAGAGGAGAGGGGAGGGAGGGGAGGGGAAGGGAGGGCGGGAGGGGAGGGGAAGAGGAGCAAGGAGAGGAGAGAGGAGAAGGAGGAGGAGAGGAGAAAGCAACACGTGAAATGGACATCAAAATTGGCCTGTAGAATTTAATTGTTGTAGAGATAAGGGAGCAGCAAAGACTCGCTATTCAAGAGGATTGAGAGAGGCCAGGCGGTGGTGGCTCGACGGCCTGTAATCCCTAGCACTGCTGGGAGGCCGAGGCGGGGCCGGAAATTGCTCAAGGAATACAAGAGCGAAAGTATAATCAGAAACCACACTGGAGCAAGAGACGAAGAACCACCAATCTACTACTATAAAAATAGAAAAGAAAAATTATTGAGCAAACTAATAATATATATATAACAAAAAATTAGCACGGGCAATGGTGGCCAGCAACTGCCTGTTAGTTACCCCAGCTACTGCGGGAGGCCTGAGGCAGGAAGGGTATTTACTTGAGCCCCAGGAAAGTTTTTTGGAGGTTGCCTGTGCAGTCTAGGCTGACAGCCACGGCCTCCACTCTACCTGGCAACAAGCGAGACTCTGTCTCAAAAAAAAAAAAAAAAAAAAAAAAAAAGATTAAGAGACAAAGAAACCAAGACTCTCCTAGAAACATGTTCCAATCGAAGCAGAGTTTTTTCCAAAGCACCTTTTTTAAGGTCCTGGGCTTCCCTCCCCTTGAACCTTTTTTAAGACGCTCTCCCTCCTTTTTTCTGTTGGTTTTCCCCCATCTGCTTTCCCATTTCCACTCACACTTTTTACCTGGGGTGTTTTGGCCCTTTACTTTGTCTTATTGGGGTTTTCCCCTTGGCACATTCCCTAGGGCTCCTTTTTTCCCTTCTGCCTTCCAGAAAACGAAGGTGAATAAGGTCCTTGGCCTTAAAGAAGCCAGCCAAGAAAAACCGTTATTTTTTGAAAGAAAAGTGAAAAACAAACATTTTGAGATTTCCCCAAAATTCCAATTCGAGTTTTTCTTTTACGTTTTGGCTTCAAGTTTTTTAAGAAAAACATGGGGAACAAGTTAACAAGAGAACTTCTAAAAAAAAAAAAAAATCCCCCAAAAAAAAACTAAATTCTTGGAAAAAGACAAACCTTCAGAATTATTAAGAAAAAAGTATTTTAAAAAATTTTTGGGGGGTTCTTGTTTAGCTTCCCCATTACCTAAATATTGGTAGAGAAATCAAAAAATTATTGGTTGGTTTGAAGAATTGATTTTTTTAAAAAAACGCCTTTGTTTACAACAAATTTAAAAGCCCATTTATCTTGGGGTTTATTATCAAACCTTAAAATGAAAGAAAGTGAAAAGGATGGCAGATCAAGAGGCGCTCAGAAAAGGGAAAGATGTTTTTTAAATTATCCAAGACAAAAATTTAAAAGCCTTGGGGGCTTCGGTGGCCCCTTCAACTCGCCTGTTTTTAATCCTAAGACCTCTTTTGGGGGAAAAGGACCCGAAGGGCCCGTTGGATCCTTGAAAGGTCAAAAAGGGAGTTCGAAAACAGCCTTCGAGCAAGAGCCCGAGACCTGGTTTCTTCTACCTTTAATAAAAATAATGAAAAATTTAATTGGGCCCAACAACATAATAGAGAAAAAAAATTAGCCAGGTCGGTGGGCACAATGCCTGTAAGTCCCACGCTACCTTCCCGGCGAAAAGGTTTGAAGGCACGGAGGAACAACGTCCAGCTTCTTGCAGCCAAGGAAGTTTTTTTAAGGTTTTGCCCCTGTTGAAGCGAGGCCGCTCAAAAAAACCGCCAAACCGGCAACTCACTTTCTTCTTAGCTGGGCCAACAGAAAAGTGAAAACCTTTTGTTCCCCTCAAAAAAAAAAAAAAAAAAGATAAAACAGAAATTGGAAAATTTATTTCTTTAATACCCAACAATTTTCCAATTTTTTTCCCCCCCCGTTGGGAAAAACAAACATCTAAAAACTTCCCACTCATGCCCCCCAGAAGAAGAATCCCAGAACAAAATTTCTTACAAAGGTTGAAATATTAAAATAACTTTTAAAGTGTGGGAAAATAAAATTGGGTTGTAGAAAAGATGAATTTTTTTACCCCCCAAGGGAGAACACCAAAAATTCTTTGGGTTAAGTTTGGTCGAACATCACACCTCTATACAACATTGCCTTGAGGCATTTGTTCAGAAACCCACGCCCCACTTTCAATCCACAAGAGAAACTTTCCTTATGGGCCACATTCCCTGAAATTTGCACCAGT